CAAAAGGGATAAAAAAGGACTCTACATACTGCTCAAGGGAACCATACACCAACAAGACTTAATGATCATTAATATATATGCCCCAAACAATGGTGTAGCTACATTCATCAAACAAACTCTTCTCAAGTTCAAGAGTCAAATAGACCACAGCACAATAATCATGGGAGATTTGTACACTCCTCTCTCACTACTGGACAGATCTTCCAAACAAAAGTTGAATAAAGAAACCATAGAGCTCAATAATACAATTAATAACTTAGACTTAATTGATATATACAGAATATACAACCCAACATCAATCAGATACACTTTCTTCTCAGTAGCACATGGATCCTACTCAAAAATAGAACATATATTATATCACAGGGCAAATCTTTGCAATTACAAAGGAGTAGAGATACTACCATGCATTTTATCTGATCATAATGGAATGAAATTGGAAATCAATAATAAAATAAGAAAGAAAAAATTATACATCACATGGAGAATGAACAATATGCTACTGAATGAACAAAGGGTTACATAAGACATCAAAGAGGAAATTTAAAAATTCTTAGAGGTAAATAAAAACTCAGACATAACATATCAAAATCTCTGGGACACTATGAAAGCAGTACTAAGAGGAAAATTCATTTCATGGAGTTCATTCCTTCTTTTAAGAAGGAAAATCCAACAAATAAATGACCTCACACTACACCTCGAAGCCCCCCCCCCAAAAAAAAGAACAAATCAGCAGCAAAAGCCATAGAAGGCAAGAAATAATTAAAATCAGAGCTGAAATCAATGAAATTGAAACAAAAGAAACAATCAAAAAAATTGACAAAACTAAAAGTTGGTTCTTTGAAAAACTAAATAAGATTGATGGGCCACTAGCCTTGCTAACAAAGAGAATAAAAGAGAGAACCCAAATTACTAGCTTAAGGGATGAAAAAGACAACATCAAAACAGACGCTTCAGAAGTACAGAAGATAATTAGAAATTATTTTGAAACCCTATATTCTAATAAAATAGAGGATACTAAAGGCATCGATAAATTCCTTAAGGCATATGAGCTACCCAGATTGAGTCAGGATGATATAAAAAACCTAAACAGACCAATATCAAGTGAGGAAATAGAAGAAGCCATCAAAAGAATACCAACCAAGAAAAGACCAGACCAGATGGATATACAGCAGAGTTTTACAAGAATTTTAAAGAAGAACTAATACCAATACTCTTCAATGTATTTCAGGAGATAGAAAAAGAGGGAGTATTTCCAAATTGATTCTGTTAGGGCAACACCACTCTGACTCCAAAACCAGATAAAGACACTTTAAAGAAAGAAAACTTCAGACCAATATCCCCAATGAATTTAGATGCAAAAATCCTCAATAAAATTCTGGCAAATCAGATACAAAAATATATCAAAAAGATCGTGCACCATGACCAAGTGGGATTCATCGCTGGGATGCAAGGCTGGTTCAATATACGGAAATCAATAAATGTAATTCACCACATCAATAGACTTAAAGATAAGAACCACATGATGATCTTGATAGATGCTGAAAAAGCATTTGACAAAATACAGCATCGCTTTATGTTCAAAACTCTAGAAAAATTAGGGATAACAGGAAATTACCTCAACATGGTAAAAGCTATATATGCTACGCCTCAGGCCAGCATCATTCTAAATGGAGAAAAATTGAAGGCATTCCCTCTAAATTCTGGAACAAGACAGGGATGCCCTCTCTCATTGCTTCTATTCAACATAGTTCTTGAAACACTACCCAGAGCAGTTAGACAGATGAAAGAAATTAAAGGTATAATTATAGGAAAAGAAGAACTTAAATTAGCACTATATGCTGATGACATGATCCTATACCTAGCAGACCCAAAAAGTTCAACCAAGAAACTTCTAGAACTAGTAAGTGAATTCATCAAAGTGGCAGGATATAAAATCAATACCAATAAATCAAAGGCATTCCTGTATATCAGTGACAAATTCTCTGAAATGGAAATGAGGACAACTACTCCATTCACAATATCCTCAAAAATAATAAAATACCTGGGAATCAACTTAACAAAAGAGGTGAAAGAGCTATACAATGAAAACTACAGAACCCTGAAGAAATAAATAGACGAAGACCTTAGAAGATTGAAGGATTTACCTTGCTCATGGATTGATAGAATTAATATTATTACGATGGCCATACTACCAAAAGCACTTTACAGATTCAATGCAATTCCCATCAAAATTCCAATGACATTCCTTGCAGAAATAGAAAAAGCAATCATGAAATTCATCTGGAAAAACAAGAGACCCAGAATAGCTAAAGTAATTCTAAGTAGGAAGAGTGAAATTGGTGGTATCGTGATTCCAGATTTTAAACTATACTATAGGGCAATAGTAACAAAAACAGCATGATACTGGCACCAAAACAGGCTGGTAGACCAATGGTACAAAATAGAGGTCACAGAGACAAATCCACAAAATTACAACTATCTTATATTAGACAAAGGTGCTAAAACCATGCAATGGAGAAATATAGCATCTTCAATAAATGGTGCTGGGAGAAGTGGAAATCCATATGCAACAAAATGAAATTGAATCCCTTTCTCTCACCATGCTCAAAAGTTAACTCAAAATGGATCAAGGAGCTAGGAATCAGACCAGAGACTCTGTCTAATAGAAGATAAAGTTGTCCCTAATCTTCATTACATGGGGGCAGGCCCCAAATTTCTTAATAGGACACCTATAGTACAAGAGTTAAATCCAAGAATCAACAAGTGAGACGTATTCAAACCAAAAGTTTTTTTCTCAGCAAGAGAAATAATATGCTAGGTGAATAGGGAGCCTACATCCTGAGAACAAATTTTTACCCCTCAAACATCAGATGGTGCTCTAACCTCTAGAGTATACAAATAATTCAAAAAGTTAAACAAAAAGGAAATAACCCAATCAACAAATGGGCCAAGGACTTGAACAGAAACTTCTCAGAAGAGGATATACAATCAATCAACAAATACATGAAAAAGTGCTCACCATCTCTAGCAGTCAGAGAAGTGCAAATTAAAATTACTCTAAGATACCATCTCACTCAAATAAGAATGGCAGACATTATGAAGTCAAACAACAATAAGTGCTGGTGAGGATGCGGGGGAAAAGATACTCTCATACACTGCTGGTGGGACTGCAAATTGGTGCAGCCAATTTGGAAAGCAGTATGGAGATTCCTTGGAAAGCTGCGAATGGAACCACTATTTGACCCAGCTATTCCCCTTCTCAGACTATACCCAAAAGACCTAAAAAGAGCATATTATAGGGACACAGCCACATCAATGTTTATAGCAGCACAATTCACAATAGCTAGAATGTGGAACCAATCTAGATGCCCTTCAATAGATGAATGGATTTTAAATGTGGCATTTATACACAATGGAATATTACTCAGCACTAAAAAATAACAAGATCATGTCATTTTCAGGCAAATGGATGGCATTAGAGCAGATTATGCTAAGTGAAGTTAGCCAATCCCTAAAAAATAAATGCCGAATGTCTTCTCTGATATAAGGGGGGTGACTCAAAATGGGGTAGGGAGGAAGAGCATGAGAAGAAGACTACCACTAAATAGAGAAGAGAGGTGGGAGGGAAAAAGAGGGATAAGAGGAGTTGCACAGAAGATGGAAGGAGAGCCTCATTGTTATAAAAAAAATATATATATATATATATATATATATATATATATATATATATATATATATATATATATATGATGTTGTAATGAGAAAAAGAAATAAAAGTGTATCACATTTGATTGGATAGAGATAAAGGATGGGAGAGGAGGATGGGAGGAGTAGGGGGGGATAGGAAGGGTAGCAGAATAGAATAGAAAATATGATTGGTGTATGTACATTCCATGTATGTATTATATGCCAAAATACATTCTGCTGTCATGTATGACTAAAAAAAAATAAAATAAAAATTTTAAAAAAGGTGCTACCTATACCTACTTAAAAAAAAAACCTTGTAGTTATTAATAATGTAATTGTTTTCCAGGCATGACCAGGCCCCCCTCTGATCACAGCTCCTCAGGATTTGACATAGGAGGATTGCAGATTTGAGGCCAGCTGGGATTCTTAGCAAGACCATGTTTCAAAAGCAAAGTCCCTTGTGAGAGACCTCGGAATTCAGCTCATTGTAAAGTCCTTCTGGATTCAATCCCAAGTAGCAGAAATAATCAGGGAATTAACAGATGATAATTGTGGGTGTGATGGAGAGCTGAGACAATGGAGAAGAGTCATATTTATGTCACAGGAAGGAAAATGGGTAGTAGATTGAACAGCAAGATACCACCACCCAGTGAGGACCCAAATGTACCTCTGTAGGAAGCACTTGCTCTACTCTGAGACTTAGTTTATTGACATAAAACCAAAGTGTGTGAGTCCTCCTCTTGTTTGACTTTTCCTGGGGACTTATCATGAGTCCAGAACCACGTCTACAGCACTTTTTGTTTTCATTTTGGGAAAGGGAGGAGGGAGAGCATAGGGGAACAGCAGTGGAATGAATCTTAGCAGTCTTTCTTATTTACATATTAGTACAGGTAAGTGATGACCCCAAGCAGTAAATCCAGAAAACACTAATAAAAAAATCTATCCTTAAATTGCAGAAAGATCAGTAGAGTTAAGGGGAGGTGACAAGAGAAGGGGAGAGGGGGGGGAAAAGGGACATATTGGGGCCTGAATTATACAACTTATGTTAAATGCTTTTATCACTTTGTCAAAAAGAATGCAAAAGTTACAAATAAAAATAAAGGACAAATAGAAATAAAATGAATAATGATATAATATTGGGGACAATATAATATAATAATGGATTAGCCAGGTGTTGGAAGGAGGTCCTGGAGATCCATGTGATGTAGAGGGGGAATGAAATGTCACAGATTTGCATAAATGGCACCAGGTTGCAGACACTATAGTAACCAAAGTATTCATCAGAAAACTTATATTTGAGCCTTTCTTTCTTATGGAAAACTTGATGGAAGAACTATAAAGTTTGTGGTGTCCTGAGACACGGGCATCTCCAGAAGACTATTGATGGTCGTGCCCCAGAAGGAGCTGCCTGGAGAGAGAGTAGGTGACTGAGGTGAAGGGACCCCACATCCCTCTGCACCTGCTCCTGGGCTGACCTGAGCTCCTGTGTGCTGAGCGCCACCTGCTGGCCCTGGGTGCCCTGCAGGAGGTTTGTGTCTGGGCTCACCCTGAGGTCCCCTCATTGTGTCTCTGGCACAGTAATAGGTGGCTGTGTCCTGGGTGGTCAGGGAGCTCAGCTGCAGGGAGAACTGGTTCTTGGATGTGTCTCTGGATATGGACACTCGGCTCTTGAGTGATGAGCTGTACCTAGTATCACCATCATACCATATGCAACCTAACCACTCCAGCCCCTTCCCTGGGGGTTGACGGATCCAGCTCCAGCAGGAAATACTGGTGATGGAGTAACCAGAGACAGCACAGGTGAGGGACAGGGTCTGTGAGGGCTTCACCAGGCCAGGTCCTGACTCCTGTAGCTGCACCTGGCACAGGACACCTGGGGACAAAGACAGTAACACCCTATTAGTCACCTGCAGTCACAACCTCCCCATGGACACTCACCTTGGGGGGCTGTGACCAGGCACAGGACAAGACCCAGCAGCCTCATCTTCTAGACCACACCTGCCTTCCCAGAGACCTCAGTCCTGTCTGAGCAGAGAGCTGGAAGCTCCCACAGCCCAGAGGGCATTTGAACCCAGGGCAGGAGGAGGGATTTGCATGTGGGTGAGGCTCTTCTGATATCTGGAGAGGCTGAGGTCAGGCTGCCCAGGTCCTCTGTGCTCCTGAGATGTGTCCCTGTCTTGAACCCAGGTGGAGCTTTACCTGTGAGAGGAGAGCAGGTGGTTTCAGGGGAGCTGGAAGGCTGTCAGAGGGGGAGCCCACCCTCCTGAGCCCAGCCCTGCATCCTCCAAGCCCTTCCTCCCTGCTCCTGGGAGGGTGTCAGAGTGGCAGGAACGTGCCCAGCATGCAAGAGGTCCAGTCCACCTCCCAGCCCTGAAGGAGAAGCCCTCAGTGATGACTGAACAGAGCCCAGGGCTGAGGATGGGGTTCCCCACATCCAGGAGAAGAGCCCCCTTTGTTCTCAGGACGAGTTCTTCTCTTTCATCTCTGTGAGATTTGGGGGCTGCAGACTGAGCAGGAGAGGAGGGAGCAGGGTCTCAGGAGGGGAGGGGCTTCCTGCTGTGTGCCCACTGCCCTCCCCACCCTCTGCCCTGCTTGTCCTCCTGACTGTCCAGCCAATGTCTGTGGACAGCAGTGGGTGGGAATCTGCCCTGAGCTCCTCCCCTCACCTGTCCTGCCCTCTGGTCTCCACCAGGAGAGGACAGGATGGAGGTGCTGGGCCAGGGGAGAGTCCTGGGAGCAGAGGCAGCTCTCAGCTGCAGCCTGAGGCTGAGAGCCCCTGAGTTCCCCAGAGCAGCAGAGCCAGGCTGACAGCAGACAGGACGGCATGCAGGGCAGGCTGGGTGAGGGAGGAGGCCCAGTCCCCTTCCCTGTGCAGCATCCCTGCAGTGAGACCTGCCTTGCCCACAGCCCAGCATTTGGAGAGAACAGTGGACACTGTCTTTAGTGAGGTGGGGTCACTGAGAGGGCAGGTGTAGTTGCTGACCTCCTGATGAGGTTCAGGAATTGACCTCCTGCCTAACTGAGTGAGCACAGCACACTAATAAGACATGTGGCTCCTCTCCTTGTTCCCTGTGGTGTTGACCATGAACTCCCTGCAAACACTGAGCCTGCAGCACCCACCTCCTGGTCCTGGGGTGACTCAGGTGAGACCTGCTGCTCTCCATGTTTTCACCACCTTCAAATCCAGTGGAGCCCCTGAGTGAAGTTTCCAAGTCCTAACAAATCATCTGATTAGAAAGCTGTTCTTCCAGGCATCTGACTAGGAGGCATCCTAAGATGATTCCACCTCCTGACCTCGGGGTCCTGGAGCCCTGATGTGACAGTCTTCCCCACGTCACCTGTGCCAGGTGTGGGGTCTTCAACACCTCACCTGACAGTGCATCAGTTTGCTTTCACCATTCAGCACAAAGTGTTCACGAAAATCAGAGAAACTGATTGTATGTATGATGTGGCCATAAGAAAACCTCCTAAAATATATCAGTATTTGACAGCATTTTTGCACTTAACCAAAATTCTGAGAATACAGAAGAGGAAAAGCTTCCTTAGGGTCATGACTTAGGATGTTGGAGTGCATGGTTGCAAGTCCTTAGCTCCTGCCAGGGAGGGAGAACACCATGGCAGAAGGGCGTGGAAGAGGAAACCAGCTCAAGACATGGCCACCAGGAAGCAGGTGAGCTCCATCTAACAGGGACACAGAGTGTCCCTCAAAGGCACACACACCCCAGTGATCGAAGTATTCCAGCCCACCACTCCTACCTACAGGTGCTGCAAGTCAATCCATGTTAGTGGATTAATCCACTGTAGGTTAGAGTTCTGGTAATCTAGTCCTCTCTTCTTTGTCTCACATGTGAGCTTGTGGGCCACCTCATATGTGAACCATGACAGCAAATTCCTGGTCCTGGTAATCCTTCCACCTGGTCAGTTTTCAGGGGATTTAATCTGCTCATTTCATATTGACATAAAGATCCCATTGAAATAACCGACTGTGTGAGAGGCTCATGTGCAGGGAGGGGCGATGTGTGTCCAGGCTGTTGCTGTCCATCACCAGCACCGTGTCTGCCAAGCCTGTGGTCTCATGTGGAGCGTGCAAAATGCACCTCCTGTGTCCACACAGACGCAGGGCACAGAGGATGGGAAGATGTCATGGGCAGGACCATGTTGATGTCTTGGATGAGAGAAGAATTACCCAGGAACAGGGAGTGACTGTGGACAGAGAATGTGGACGTGTCCTCCAGGGAAGGCCAGGCCTGAGGGAAAGGCAGCAGGTGTTCCTCCTGGAAGCTCACTGCAGAAGAGAGCCAGCAACAGCCACAGCAGCCAGATCTCCTGGGCCAGCTCCTGGGGTGCTGGGGCCTGAGAGTCGGAGCTTGCACATGAAACTGTGGGTCTCTGTGTGGTTGTGCAAAGTGGCCCAGATGCTCTGGGCCATCAATTAAACTCCTGCTAGTAATGCCAATAATTGCACCCTTAGTGATTTCAAATTACTCTTTGAGGAAATATATTGTATATTCAGGAAGCTTTATGAATTTAGAATTTAGGGACATGAGACTAGAAGGTATTTCTCTCTGAACATTCATTTGAGGACTAAGGAATTCAAGGTTATGCCATCAACCCTTTTCAATCCGTCCCAGTTAATCATTATTTTTTAAATTGAAAACATCTATTGAAGGCCCAGAGGTATAACTGTGGAGGCCTTTCTCAGGAAGTGTGTCACGTTTACAGAAAAATGAAAACCATAACTGGAAAAAATCCACTACTCAATCAGCAACTCCTTGCTCCTGTGCGCCCCCTGCTGGCCACAGGTGCCTCCTGAGGGAGGTTTGTGTCTGGCTCACACTGAGGTCCCCTGAGTGACTCTGCACAGTATGAGTTGGCCATGTCCTTGGCTGCATTCTGCACTCCTCCTTGGGGGCACTGCAGTGTCCCTAGGGCCTCAGTCCTTTGAGGATGACCTTGTGGAGGCCTCTGCAGGGACTCCCTCCTGCAGGGCTCCTTTCCTGTCCTTGGGGTTTCTGTGTTTTCTGAGGACTGTGTCAAGCTGCCATGCCCCACAGATCTTGGACTCTGGCCCTGTCACTGTGAGAAGCACATGGACACCATCTCTATGCATGCACTGGACCTTGGTAGGGGCAGCCACAGAGGCCCCCACTGCCCCTGGACACACTGAGTCACAGCTGCTGTGACTACATAATAAAACTAGTCATCTGTGGCAAGTAAGAGCCAACACTATGGTCCTGTGGTAGGTGAGGGTCTCCCATGGCAGTGGTTGGTGTCATGCACACTGTGACAAGTCATACTGCCTTGTGAGGTGAACATCCGAGTCTGCAGAAGAACCTCTCCAAGTCCTGAAGCTCAGGACTGCAGGAGAAGCCTTGCCTGTGGCCAGGACCAAGGGGACAAGCCCTATGGCAGGGGAGCAGGCACACTGGCTGGGCTCACCTTGGTGCTATGAATCACAGAGCTGTGGACAGGCCATGACCGGAGCACCCAGTGCCCACTGGGAGAACCAGGGCATCCATATTCTCCCTCGCCTCTGAGTAGCCCAAGCGGGTTAGACATTAATTTCAGGGACCCATCCTCTGTATCTTGACATATACCTGAAAGTTCGCTGTCAGACTGAACCATCAAAAATTTATTGTTTTTATCTGAAAAGCTGTGGACTTGTGCTTCAAATGTAAACCTGTAATCCAGTTACTTTCTAGATGTTTACAAAGGATGCTTTCTCTGTGTTTGCGTGTTCTTGAACCAAAAACGTCCACACACTTAGCACATGTGAAATTTGCACTTTAGTTTACACGGCCAGGTCCCTGGAGGCTGCTTAGTGGATGAGGGAGCTGCAGAGGCCCCTGCTCTTCTCCCTGCCCATAGGCCTGGGTCAGTCTATGGCCACTGGTGCAGGACAGAGCACTGTGGAGGGAGGAAGGGCTCATCCTGCCCCACCACACAGAGCACATGGGTGACAGGCAGGACCTCTGCGGAAGCCACCCTCAGTTGGATCCCTTGTGCAGGGGCTGCCCCTGCTCCTGCCACACAAGGAGCTGTCAATCATCCTTCACCCCTGACAGGGGGCACCTGTGCTGATGGAGCCACTGAGCCCCACAGCCCTCAGCACAGTTTGGGAACTTCCGGGAAACAGGCCCCAGCAGTGGTGGGGACAGAGCAGAGCCAGCCTGGGCCCCACACCAGGCTCCACTGCACAGAACCAGGCAGGGCCCCACACCACGCTCCACTGCACAGAACCATGCAGGGAACCCACAGTACTCTGTCCTGCACCAGTTCCTCCCTGACCAGCACACAGCTGGCTGGCTGCTCTCTTGAACCTCCCTCTCCAGCTGTGTGCTGGTCAGGGAGGAACTGTCCATCCACCTGCAGACACAGGACACAGCTGGCCATAAGTCCACACTTGTACAAAGGAGGGAAGAGCCCTGGGCCCTCCCTGAGTGGCAGGGCATGCTGAGAGCAGGGCCAGCTGTAAGGGCCACACACCTTTCCCAGGACCCCAGGTGGCATTGCAGGAACCTCTAACCCCTAACAAGGTCCCCAGGGCAGCTGAGCAGGCCCTGAGCAGCCACTGCACAGAGTCCCTGTGGAGGTGCAATCCAGCCCTGGGTGCTGAGAGCATCTCGCCCTTGTCCCCAGGTGCTGCCTGCCCTGTGCTGTCCTCTAATCTGACAGCCACCTCTGCACTCATGGGGCCTGCTGCACTGCTGACCTGGGCCTGTGGGAGGGCCACCCCAGGCAGCCCTTGGGGACAGATGGGCTGCACCTCTGCTGCTCTGCCAGCAGCCCCTCAGCTGTCCAGGCTGCCAGAGTGGCCCCAGCACCATGCAGCCCCCAGGACTGTGAGGCCCAGCTGCTCCAGGAACACCTGACCAAGGTGCTGTGAATGCACTCCTCACCTGGAAAGAACAAGGAGCCCATGGGACTCTTCAGCCTCCATTTAGGAAAGAATTATTTATGTTATGGGTGACACAGAGGGGGGAGAATGAAAGACATAATACCTGCTCAACCAGGTGTTTCTGAGCCCTTAGGAAT